AAAAAAACTTAAAAAAAAAAAAAAAGGTGATATCCCAGAAACCCATGAATAGGATGGTCATAGGCAATACTTATATTAATATTTATAATAGACACTGAAACCTCATAGCTAAAAAAAAAAATAGTAAAGGCAGGGGGCTTTTTTTGGGGGTAGAGGTTTTTGCCTTAGGGCCGGTGTGCTCACTGGTAAGAAAGAGAAAGAGACAGTAAAAGGTTGAAAGTGAGAAATCACCTCCCGGGGGGATGACCACGCCACAATCCCTTCTCCTCCATTCTCTTCTTGGGATTTTGGGCAAGCACAAACACACACACACACACACACACACAGCGTGAGTTTCAGATATCATATCAGTTCCAGGACTGGAACCACAGTCGGCCATATGGGAGTCCAGGGATGTAACAACTACAGCATCTGCTGGCCCCAGTAAAGGTAGTTTTAAGTATGCTGATAGCTTTACTAACTGAGGAATAATTAAGATACCATAGAGGGGCCAGCAGGTGGTGTGGTGGTTAAGGTGCTGGATACTCCCACATGCCTAACCACGGTTCAAGTCCTGGACGTGGTGGCTTGCTCTCTCATGTTCTCTCTCTCTCTCTCTCTGTGTGTGTGTGTGTGTGTGTGTGTGTCTTCTGGTCAAATTAAAATGAATGAATGAATGAATAAATAAAAATAAAAAAATAATTCTTTTAAAAAAATACCATAGAGTAACTCTATTATAGATAAGACAGACTGTTGATTCAATGACATACATGAGAAATCTACATAGCCACAAGGAATTCACATAATCCCCAAAAGTTCTGCAATGTCAACACAAAATCCTATAGTATAGTACTATCTCACCTATCAGAAGCAGGCATGGCACATGGAAAAATGGGAGAACTTTAAGCTCACCTGTAGAGATACATGAAGAAACAGAGCAAATGGAAACCAAGTTTGATCATGGCTTCTTTCATGTGTGACTTCAGCTGCCCTCGATTGTGTATTTCTGTTGGATCAAACACTCCCATGTTACCACTCGGCACCATAATAAACCTAATAAAATTAAAGAGTGTACATATTAGAAGGAAAAAAATCACCATAAAATGCAAGAATAAGTGGGAACCAGCAGTTAGCGTAATGGTTATGTCGCTGGACTCCCATGTAGTTGACCGCGGTTCGTGTCCCAGACCCGGTGGCTTAAAACTCACACCGAGCACGTGTGTGTGCGTGCCCAAGATCCTGAGAGGAGAATGGAGGAGAAGGGATTGCGGCATGACCATCTCCTCTGGGGGGTGATTTCTTGCTTTCAGTCTTTCTGTCTCTCTCCGTCTGTCTGGCGAGCACACGCGCCCTATAGCAAAAAGCCTCTCCAAAAAAAAAAATACAAAAATAAGTTGCCAACAATAATCAATCTTTAAAAGTGAACAATCAGGCTAGCAGGTGGGGGGGTGGTTAAGGTGCTGGACTTCCATATGGCTGACAATGGTTTAAGTCCTGGACCTGGAGACTTGCTTTCTTACTTTCCCTCTCTGTCTCCTTCTGTCTCTTTCTGGTCAAATTAAAAAATAATAATAACAATGATGAATAAAATTAAATAATTCTTTTATTTAAATAATTATTTATTGGGACCAGCAGTTGGCATAATGGCTATGTCGCTGGACTCCCATGTAGCCGACCATGGTTCGAGTCCCAGACTTGGTGCTTAAAACTCACACCAGGCGCATGTCCGTGTATGGCCCAAGCTCCCAAAAGGAGAATGGAGGAGAAGGGATTGTGACGTGGCCATCCCTCTGGGGGGTGATTTCTCACTTTCTGTCTCTCTGTTTCTCTCTGTCTTTCTGGCAAGTGCACATGCCCTATAGCAAAAAACCTCTCAAAAAAAAAAATTTAACCTCTTCCTAATGGGATATAACCAAAACCTTATCACTCTCTACATATTTTTTCTTCATTTCTCCTCTAGTTTAAATAAAACAGTGACCAATAGTTTACAATCTACTTAAACTCAAGCCGGGCACGTGTGTGTGCGTGCCCAAGATCCCGAGAGGAGAATGGAGGAGAAGGGATTGCGGCGTGACCATTCCCTCTGGGGGGGTGATTTCTCGCTTTCTGTCTCTATGTCTCTCTCTGTCTTTCTGGCGAGCGCACGCACCCTATAGCAAAAACCTCTCAAAAAAATAAATTAATTAAAAAAAAGAGAATTATTTATTAACTTCATTTATTAGTTCATTTTTATTTTTAATTTGACCAGAGAGGGAGACATAGAGAGAGTGAGAGAAAGTGAGAAAGCAAGCCACCAGGTCTGGGAATCGAATCATGGTCAGCCATGTGGGAGTGTCCAGCGCCTCAACCACCACACAACCCGCTGGGTCCCCCATAATTAAATAATTCTTTTGTTTTTTATTATTTTATTTAGCTTTATTTATTTATGTATTTAATTCATCTAAAAAGGGGCAAATTGAGAGAATGAGAGACCACAAATGAGAGAGAGAGGAAAGTGAGAAAGCAAGCCACCAGGTCTGGGACTTGAACCATGGTTGGCCATGTGGAAGTCCAATGCCTCTAACCACCATGCCACCTAACAGCCACAATTAAATAATCCTTAAAAAAAAAAAAAAAAAGAACCAATTATAACAGCCTCGTATTCAGACCAAATATAAACAGATTTAATATGACAATGTCATGAGCCACTGATTAGTTCTCCTTTGGAAGTTAAAATAACGTTAATTCTCAGTGTAATTTTCTGTTCCTTAAAACAAACACTGTCACATTCTAGAGAAGGATATTTTATGCACTCAGACCCTTTCACCTATCTTCTGTAGAAAATTACTAGACCAGGGGACCAGCAGTTAGCGTAATGGTTATGTCACTAGACTCCCATGTAGTCGACCATGGTTCGCATCCCGGAACCGGTGGCTTAAAACTCACGCTGGGCGCGTGTGCATGCGTGCCCAAGATCTCGAGAGGAGAATGGAGGAGAAGGGAGTGCGGCATGGCCATCCCCCTTGGGGGGTGATTTCTCGCTTTCTGTCTCTCTGTCTGTCTGGCAAGTGCACGCGCCCTATAGCAAAAAACTCTCAAAAAAAAAAAAAAGAAAGAAAATTACTAGACCAGTCATATACAGCCCTTTTTTATTAGACATAGGTTAAAGGAGACTCCAAAGCCAAAGCAATTTTATCAAATTAGAAATGTTTTATGAAGGGGCTGGCAGGTGACACAGTGGTTGGGCTGCTAGACTCCCACATGGTTTGAGTCCCAGACCTGGCAGCTTGCTTTCTTTCTCTGGTTAAACTAAATAATATCAATAATAAATTAAATTTAATTAATTATTTGACTTTAAAGAATTATTTTATTTAACTTTATTATTATTTTCCAGTTTGATCAGAGAGAGACAGAGAGAGAGAGGGAAAATGAGAAAGCAAGTCACTAACTGTGGACAGCCATATGGGAGTCCAGTACCTTTAACCAGCATGCCACCTGTTGGCCCTGATTCTTCTTTTTTTTTTGAGAGATTTTTGCTATAGGGTGCATGGGCTCACCAGACAGACAGAGAGAGATAGAGAGACAGAAAGCGAGAAATCACCCCCCAGGGGGATGGCCATGCCGCAATCCCTTCTCCTCCATCCTCCTCTCAGGATCTTGGATACGCATGCACACGCACCCAGAGTGAGTTTTAAGCCACCGAGTCCGGGACGCGAACCACGGTCGACTACATGGGAGTCCAGAGACATAGTTATTACGCTAACTGCTGGTCCCATTCTTTTTTTTAAGAAAGATTTTAGCTATGGGGCATGTTTACTCACTGGAGAGACAGAAAGAGACAGAGAGACAGAAAGTGAGAAATCACCACCAGAGGGATGGCCACACCACAGTCTCTTCTCCTCCATTCTCCTCTTGGGATTTTGGGCATGTAAACACATATGTACAGCATGAGTTTTTAAGCCACCGTGTCCAGGACTCAAACCATGGCTGACTACGTAGGTGTCCAGCAACATAACCATTATGTCATCTGCTGGTACCAAATTAAGTAATTCTTAAAAAAAAAAAGAAATTTGGGGGGCCAGCAGGTGCTGTGGTAGTTAAAGGCGCTAGATTCCCACATGGCTGACTGCTGTTCAAGTCCTGGACCTGGCGGCCGTCTTTCTTGCTTTCCCCTTCCCTCTCTCTCTGTCTCTGTCTGGTCAAATGAAATAATAACAACAACAACAAATGAATATAAATATAAATAAATAAATAATTCTTTCAAAAAAATGTTTATGGAAATAGGAAAATTAAGTAAGTTGGGTTTCTTTGAGATCAGTAAGTTTAAGTGACTGAGTTTCAACACCCAGATTATGCTATTTGTGTAACAAATTGCATGTCCCAATCTAATACTGTTCATTCTTCCTGCTCTCATGTCCAGACTTCTAGTACAACCTGGGTACCTTCCTCTCGCCACCAAGTTTGTCAGTTATCACTTTTACAAAAACCACTCCAAGTGCCACAAATCTTAAATTTTTCCCCAAATCCTAGTGCCCTATTTCTAACTAAATAGAATGTATTTCAATTTGAATATCTGGATAACATGTCCAAATAGTCCCTGATAGCTACATTATAAAGACCATCATTATTTTCTTAGTTGTCGACAACATCTTCTTACCCAATTCTGTAACGTCTCTCTTGTCAAGATTATTTCACAGTTCTTCACAAGAAAATATGCTATATGCAATAGCCCATCTATAAAATGGTATCTAACTAGTGATTCAATGAGCTATTTTTGATCAAATTTCTTTCTTTTTTTTTTTTTTTGAGAGGTTTTTGCTATAGGGCGCATGTGCTTGCCAGACAGACAGAGAGAGACATAGAGACAGAAAGCGAGAAATCACCCCCCAGGGGGGATGGCCACGCCACAATCCCTTCTCCTCCATTCTCCTCTCGGGATCTTGGGCACACATGCACACGCGCCCGGGACACGAACCACGGTCGACCACGTGGGAGTCCAGCGACATAGCCATTACGCTAACTGCTGGTCCCGATCAAATTTCTGATACTTATTAAATAAAAAATGTTGATAAGGTACTTAATATGTAGGTTTCCAAGGGTAATTTTTTTCTTTTCCTTTTTTGAAAAAAAGATTTATTTTATTTTATTTATTCATTCATTTATTTTAATTTGACCAGAGAGGGACAGAGAGAGAGAGAGAGAGAGAGAGAGAGAGAGAGAGATGGAGAGTAAGAAAGCAAGCTACCAGGTCCAGGACTCAAACAGAGGTTGGCCATCTGGGAGTGTCCAGTGCCTTAACCACCATGTCACCTGCTGGCCCCTTTCTTTTTAAAATTTGCTATAAGGAGCTTGCACTCACCACAGAGAGAGAGAAAGGAAATGTGAAAAAAACACCCCCAGAGGATGCCCACACTTCACTCACTTCCCCACTTTTCTCTTCAGATTTTGGATATGCACCCACATGTGCCCAGTGTTTTCTAAGAAAGATTTTTTTGCTATAGGGTACATGTATTCACTGGAGAGAGAGACAAAAAGCCAGAAAACACCTCCATGGGGGATGGCCATGTCACGATTCCTTCTCCTCTATTCTCCTCTTAGGATCTTGGGCACGCATACACAAGCACCCAGCATGAGTTTTAAGCCATTGGGTCCGGGACTCAAACCGCCATCAACTACAAGGGAGTCCAGTGATATAACTACTAAGTCATCTGCTGGTCCCAACCAGTGTTTTTTTAAAGCTGTTGAGTCTGGAACTTGAACCACACAGTCAGCCACGTTTATCTAGCCACCTTAACCATGACACCCTGGCTGGCCCTTGAATGTAATTTTCTTTTCTTCTTTTTTTTTTTTTTAAGAGAGAGATTTTTGCTATAGGGCATGTTCACTTGCCAGAGAGAGAGAGAGAGACAGACAGACAAAAAGCAAGAAATCATCCGCCATAATCCCTTCTCCTCTATTCTCCTCTCAGGATTTTGGGCACGCATGCACACACACCTGGCGTGAATTTTAAGCCACCAGGCCCAGGACCCAAATCACAGTCGACTATGTGGGAGTCCAGTCCAGCGATGTAACCATTACACCATCTGCTGGTACCAAATGTAATTTTCTTTGGAATATTCTAAATACATTCTAATTATTTTATTTAACTTTATTTATTTATTTATTATAATAATTTGACCAGAGAGGGACAAAGTGAGAGAGAGAGAGAGACAGAGAGAAAGGGAAAGTAAGAAAGCAAGCTGCCAGGTCCATGACTCAAATCACAGTTGGCCATGTGGGAGAGTCCAAAACCCTTAACCACCATGCCACCTGCTGGCCCCTATATTGTCATACTTTTGACCATTTTTTTTTTTTTAAAGTTTTGCTATAGGGTACATGCACTCATTGGAGAGAGAGCGAGAAAGAGAGAAACTGAGAAGCCACCCCCACACTGACATCCCCCTCCTCCATTCTTCTCTTGAGATTTTGGAAACACATGTACACATGACTGTCATAATTTTTAAGATGCTGAGTCTAAGCCTTGAACTGAGCAATTGGTCTTGTGGGATCCAGCTACCTTAACCTCCATGCCACCTGCTGTCCTATTTTTAACTATTCTTAAAGGAAAATGCTATCTACACCAATGGAAAAAGATTCTATAAGTCTTTAGATATTACAATTATACATTATGTGTTTTATAAATTTATATGTAGGGCTGGCAGGTGGTGTGGTGGTTAAGGATGCTGGACTCCCACATAGCTGATCACAGTTTGAGTCCTGGACTTGACGTCTTGCTGTCTCACTTCCCTCTCTCTCTGTCACTCTGTCCCCCTCTGGTTTAATTTAAAAAGATAAATAAAGTTAAATAAAATAACTCTTTAAAAAAATTTACACATGTAAATTTATCTTTTTACAAGGCTTATCCATTATACCAATGCATACAAAAATGTATGCTAATTTAATGAAATGTTCTACTGTTCTTTATTTCATTGCTGGTGTATCTTTTAGTAAAAGAGAGGGCTATTAAACATTTTTTAAACATCCTGATACGAAAGGGTAAACAAACTACTCACCGATAAATATTCCAAGTGGCAACAGGTAAGTTGAGAAGGAAGATGAACCAGTGCAATGAAACAAGCATTAATACAGTGATAATGGTATGACCAATCAATTCTGGAATTACCCACTGCAAGGGAAGAACACAGTATTATATTTCACTGCCATGTCCTTCCTGAGTATACATGTTATTTGATGCTAAATCAATGAAAGTAAAGAGAACTTACAAGCTACTGTTTCAAGATTATTTTTAGATTCAGATGTCCCAGATTTGCATACTGCTGTAACTGCTTACCCCATGCAAATACATCAGGACACAGCTTAAAAATAAAGTACTTAAATTTCAATTGCATTTTATCCTAAGCAAAGGCTTAGATTCATTCACTAAGCTGATCTGAATGACAACTAGGGAAAAAATAGAGTATTATTTATTTTCTATTCTAATATATATATATGTTAACACCTCTTACTCTCATTTGGGATGGTTGATATCCATATTTATGTTACCTTTCAAGCCAGGACAACAACCTTAAACATTTTCTCATCTCCAGAATGCTGAGGAAATCATTTTACATTAAGGAAGGAAGGAGGGACCAGAAGTCCGCATAATGGCTATGTCGCTGGACTCCCATGTAGTTGACGGAGGTTCGAGTCCCAGACCTGGTGGCTTAAACTCACGCTGGGTGCGTGTGCATGCGTGCCAAGATTCCAAGAGGAGAATGGAGAAGGGACTGCAGTGTGGCCATCCCCCCTGGGGGGTGACTTCGTGCTTTCTGTCTGTCTGGCGAATGCTCACACCCTATAGCAAAAACCTCTAAAAAAAAAAAAAAAAAGGAACGAAGGAAATACATACATACCTAAATAAATTTTAAAAAGGCTTTAGAAGCTTATGATAACAGCTCAGAGTTGAACAGTATAATCAACCAGGACTCAGAATCCTGGCCTATCAGCTTTATTGTGCTCCGTGTTCCCTTCTCTATGATCCCTTTGTTGACTGACACTCTTTCTCTCTTTCTCTCTCTCTGTGTGTGTGTGTGTGTGTGTGTGTATATATATATATTTTTTTTT